ATATACTCTGCAGAAACATATGATTGATCAAATCTAGAGTATAGTGCAGTAGAACAAATCAATTGGAATACTTGATATAATAATATATTTTTTTCATTCAATTTGTTCTTCTTTAGATGAATAATGTCGAGTAACTTATTTGAACTGACATTGTTTTTATCTTTACGCTACGTTTTTGTATTAGTATATGTATGTCAAATAAATGGTTTTGTGAAATGGATAATCCTTGTCATGTAAATACATAAAATATTTAGCTATTTCATTGAAGTAAATATATTGGCATAGAGAAAACTGTTTTTATCATCTTAATAAGCGGTTTTGTTGAATAAGCATAATATTTAGTTAACGAGTTTGGTTAAACGAAATACTTTAACCATTAATCTATTAATATTCATATAATGAATATTCATATAAAGAATAAAAAGCTATTCAGGAATTTCAACGTAAATATACATATATAATATATATGTATGTATAAACTAAACCCTTGCACCGATTATCGTCAAATACAATACCAGCCATCTTTTTTTTGTTTTTTAATGAAGAACATTTTCGCTATCTCTCGTTTTCTTGTGGAGCGCTCACAATATAAAATTTTTGTTTTTGACCAATGGAACTCGTGGTCGTTGTTTAATCGGTGTTTGCTAATTACCGAATGATTGCTTTCATGTTTTTTTATATTAACTGACCAACTGACTTTTATATTCTTGACTTTTATATCAACTGATCAACATAACCAATTATATAACTGTATTAATGGAAACCTTCCGAGATGCTACGGGCTACCAAAAATTCATAAAGTCGGTTTCCCTTTAAGAGTAATTGTGTCAGCTCTAGGTAGCTATCAGTATACAATGTAGCTAGATACTAACATGACATTTTAAACAAATCGATAGACAAACCAAAGTCACACATCACAGACAGCTGGTCCTTGGTTAATATATTAAAAGAAACTAAAATAAATTCAGATCATTTACTAGTCTCTCTGGACGTTACTTCTTTATTCACAAACATCCCCATTGAACTAGTAAAACGAGCGCTGAACACCTCTTGGCGAGCAGCTCCTGAGCAAGGTGAGTTCTCACTCGCGCGAAACCGTGACACTCTTCCGCGGCCAGGACCGCGTGTCAGGACCCGGACGTGAATCGGTACCCAGGCGGATCAGGGAGACCCGTTGTTACCGCTGCAGCATCGTCGGCCATGTGGCGAGGGGCTGCGCGGGAGCCCTGAGGTGTCCGCTATGTTCGGACCTCGGGCTCCCGTGCCCCCACAGGCTAGGGAAGTGGGGTGCGGCCGGGACGCGCCCGGGTCCTCTCTTCGGAGGGAGAGGGAGTCGGCTTCGGGTAAGGGGGTTAAGAACCCAGGCAAGGTTCCATCGAGGAAGAAGAAGAAGGACAATAGAAAACAGGGCACGACCGGCATGAGGGGGCCTGTCACCCGACAGGCCGCCCACCCTGTCAGCAAACGGGGCACAGCAGCGAGGGGGCCGACCACCAGGAAGGCCGCCCGCCCCGCCAGCGTGGGAGACGGGTCGACGGACGGGAAAGGGGCGGAGGAATCCTCACCCCTCCCGTCAAGGCTGATCTCTCGTGTCTCTCTAAGGAGACTGGGAGGGGACTGTTCGTACCGGGGCGGGGAACTTAGCTCCTCCCCCAAGTCAAGCGGTCTCGAGGATCCTCTCGGCGTACAGTCGAGGAGGTCCTTGATGATATTTTGGGCAGCGGGGTGATGGACGATGAATAAACCTACTCTCCTTGTAACCGCCTGGGGGATCATTCTCCATTTTTATGTGGTAAGGGGTGAGACCACGGGCATTGCACTTGGCCCGTGGTTTTTACCCGCCTGGGGCTGTGACGGGACGATTACGGGTAATAATCGCTCCGTCATCGCACTCGGTCCTGGGGAGCGATCACGTGCACCGATCGAATTCGAATTCGAGAAGGAATATGCCATCCGATACCACTCTTCGTACATGATCAATCTATGGTCTGGGAAAAACTATCCTATAATAAATAAGCATGAACCATGAAACCTGTAGAGTAGAAACGTATGAGAAGTCGACCGATCGAATTCGATCGTGCACGTGATCGCTCCCCTGGACGTCGCGAGAGTGGGAGCTAGGTGTAGGCTTCCCTCCGCTTAATGGGGTAGAGTGGGGAGTGTTCCTGATACACCTCCCTTGGGACGGTCAGCAGGGTTAGGGGGCGGCCTGATGAGATGCTACATTGGCGGTTCCGGGTCGCCCCCTGTTAAACCCAGAGGGAGTACACCCTCAGGAGTTTTAGTTAGTTTTTAATTAGACCAAGGGTGCTGAGTCCAACATATTCTCTCGGTCTTCCCGGAAATGCACGAGCATTTCTCCTGAGTCATCAAAAAAACAAAAAAAACAAAAATGTTAGGTTAGGTTAGGTTAACGGGAGGTTAGCGAAAGTGAATCAGATGAATCAGAAATAAAGAGGAAGAACGAGGTTTTCGAGTTGTTAACAATAGATCAACATAGTCTAGACTTGAAGGTACTTTATTCATGGTTATCCCAAGCACAACGGTATACCATACAGGGTGAGGAAAAAGTACCGGACCGGTGACATATCTCGAAAAATATGGAAGATACAGAAAAGTCTTTCAGACAAAAGTTGTACGGTTACAAAAGGGCTATATAATGGTAAAATAAATTTTTGAAAAAAATAAATTTTTTATGGTTATATGGAGGTCGCCGTCATTTTTTTAAATGGAACTCCTTATTGTTTATTACACTACCTTATTTTACTAATTAATATGATCAACTTTTGTCTGAAACATTTTTTTATTTGCCCAATACTTTTTGAGATATTCGAGCGAAAATTTATAACTTTTTCAATGTTTAGTTTATAATATCTCGATAACTGTTTGTCGGAGGGAAAAGTAGTACAGGACTTTTTTACTTGATTTAGTCTCAGGAATATGCTGTTGCATGACATAAGATGACATAAAAAATGACATAAAAAAGCATTTCAGTAATCAGTCGGTAGTTAGCAGACACCGATTATCTCATAGTCATGAATTTAATTGGCTGATCCAATTATCTTACATAGCGAGAACAATATTAGAAAATGTGAGATCGCAGAAATGTTTTTCATCAAAAGAACAAACAACACTATTAACTTACAAACTGACACAGAGAACTTAAACGTATTATACGACTGTGTTATCAAAACACTGTAGGTCGTGTTTGTCATTTTCTATTTCCTGATTTTACCTACAATCCAGATCAACTCTGAACGTTGACGTATAAATGTGCTCTCAATACAGAATAATAATTTTATCGGACGTAGTGTTTCACCGAGACTCTCGAAAATCGAGACTCTCGAAAATGAGACAAGACGAGATTGAGATCGAGACAAAATTACGACGGCGAGACCAACATCGAGACCACGGCGCCGAGAGTCTCGGTCTAGGCTCGAGAATCTCGTCTCGTCTCGTTTTATTTATAATTTCTCTAACAGTCCTGAACTCCGTAGCACAAAGAAGTCTTCCGTATAAATCTAGATATGTATTTCACATCCTACATGCGACGAATAACTGTTATCTAACATAAATTAAATTCTAATTGACGCACAAACATGTAAGTTAGTATCGTGATTCATCATTATAATTAATTTTTCAATCAATCAATACTCATTAAATGTCATCAGTTTATAGATATTACCCATTACTTCCACAATGGATAAATTTATATCTTGTCTTGCGAACGATGTTAATTTTCACCTGAAGAGGACAGGAATTCACTGTCGAAACGTTGTGTACTAAATGAAATAAACTGCCAGATACGTCGGAAAAATTGTTCTACTTATTTATAATTTCTCGCTATACTTTTCATATGTCAATATGTAAATGTTTACAAGAGAAAATATTATCAATAATCTATTATGTATAAATAGATAAATAGTGGGTGATTAGTACCCGTATATATAATTTTTTGGGACTTATTGTCAGATTAAAAAATGGTCGATAGCTGAACATGAAAATGAAAATTCTTTGAACGTGTGAGATTAATTTTAATTACTTAAATGATTTATTTATTAAGATTTTTATTTGCAAAATTTACCTACAGAGTACAGGAATATTCTTATAATTAGGTATTTCTTCTTATTCAGCAAATTCAGTGTTAAAAACACGTAGTAAAGTTAGATTTCTCTCTTAAAGCTTCCTTTATGAGGAAGCCGTAACAATGGAAGCAATGTGCAAATTTCTAATTTGTCTACTTTAATGATGAGGAAGAAATGTGCAAATTTCCAATTTGCACGTTTCAATGATGAGGAAGCAATGTGCAAATTTCTAATTCGCACACTTTCAAGAAACATCGAAAAATACGCCGCCGTCTGCGGATCGACGCGAGCGCGCGAGCGCGTCCGCGCCGAAGCAAATAAATTGGATCGTGTTACGTAACGTGAAGCTAAAGTGACGTTTACCGCGAGCTGCAGAAAAAAAGGAGGAAAAAAACAGGTCGTGTTACATGTTTCTCCGTGCTAATTATAAATTCGACAAATTGCCCGTGATTCCGATTCCCGGTGTCACGTTCAGTGTCAATTAATGCAAATTATTCAGGGAACATTGAAACTGACGCTTACAACGACTTTTCTGATTAATAAACGATACTGCGACATTTATACGTGCCCCGGTGGTAACGAAGTTACTTTCGCCGCGGTGAAATTTGACGCGGCGCGCGCGCGCGGCGACTCCGAGTCGCGCGACAATGCCGTTTCGCGAGCCACGTGACAATTAACCCTCGGCTACTTATGATTAAATTTGAATAACGTAACTACCGCGGACTCGGTTTGACCTCGCTAAATAAATGGCGTAATATCGCGAATTGAAAAGCGAATGTATTTTTCATTAACCGCACGCCGAGCGCGGAGCATTACGCATGCGCATGATGATTCCGTTCGAGGGAAAGGAAAAGAAAAGGCGTGACGATAGTGCAGCATCTTCCACGCCGGCGATTCCGCGTGAACCTTATCTTTGTTTAGGCTTAGACTTCCCCGGCAACTTGGTCGCAATTAACACCCGCCTGTTATCGATATGTCCGACACGTAACGCCTCGTGCGGCTGTTCATAGCGCATGTAGAATTTTAAGTTGCGACTTCTGCGCTACGCGCTTTATTTTACACGGCTCCCTTCGCGTTCTTCGCAGATAAAATCGTCGCATAAATGATTAACAATCGCGCCCGGCTCGCGTGTTCGCAGGTTGTACTGGCTGCGTCTAGCACGTATTTTGACACGATTCTCTCGCAATATCAGGAGAAGGACCCTATCGTCATCATGCGTGACGTCAAATTCTTGGACCTCGAAGTACTGGTTGACTGCATGTACAAGGGAGAGGTCAATATTGATCACGTGAGTATTAATACATCTCCCGCGAGTGATTTCTCTTCGCGGCTGATTTTCGTATCGTTACCGATTCCGCGAGCGCAACCCGCTGCGGAAATTTATTCCGGGGAGAAAATTGGGTGGGAAGATGTCATTTCTCCAGCCTTGGCCAAAAGTATTTGCCCCATTCAATTTTTAGAAGTATAACTTCTTTCGACTCTAACCAACTATTTTGTTATTGTTACGTATCGGCGAGCAATAAATATTCCCATTTGCATCAACTGGTATTGTTTATTTAACCTGAATGTAAAATAATTTGTATACGAAGTAACAAAGGATATAAGAGCCAAGGCAGGATGTTAGTGTCTAAATGAGTTTAATTTTTAAGCTCTCCTCGCGTTGAGGCTGAGGTAATATTTTTTCGCAATAAATTTAGAATAAAATACTTAGACGCTAACACCCTGTCGCTGCTCTTAGTCCTTCATTCCTTCAAATTTGTGTTTATCACATTTAAGCCATACGAATTTTATTAATTTATTTAATTTTTAAATTTATTGCGAAAAACTACGAATTAATTTAAAGTTATCGAGGTTTCACATAGGTGGCTAAAATATTTTCGGCCAAGGCTATATTAGATGTGATTGTATATAAACTGTTATATTACGGATTAATATCATCGCAGAGCAAATTAGTTTTTGTAGAACGCGCTCCCTAACTAGTATCTCGAAATTTTCATATTTAAGCGTTTAGTTCAGACATCATTGCGACACATTCCCGTTTATACAACTCGGTAAATATCTCGCTCTATTTATTTATAAATAAGCAATCAGCTTTTTCAGTTTCTCTCGGCGGAGCTTACAGCGGATTTAACGAGTTTCGCAGTTGCACAAGTCATACGCTTATCTACGCATATCTATCTACATTTTTTCTGAACTTTTACCTTTAATCTCACCCCGCGTTCCCCCTTTCTGCTCGCCGACGCGTTACAAAATTATATAAAAATAACATTTCAATATATTTAATGTAAATAAAGTAATCGCGATCATGGCTTCAACGATGATTACGTGCGAGGTATTTTCGATCGCCAGAAGAGAATAATGGGACATCGGGGTAATGTGAATTACATCCGGCCGTTTCGCTTTTGTAGACGAGGCTGTCGTCGTTACTAAAAATCGCCAAGGATTTAGACATCAAGGGGTTCGCCGAGTTGAGCTCGTGCAGCGTCTCCAGACAAAATGATTTGAATACTGGCCATAGTCCCAGCACCGGCACGCCCGGCGTGGAGACGGTTTTACAGAAGGGTAAAGACAAGACTCAACCGACTCCCAACAAGAGACGCAGAGATAGTCCGCCTCTGGACGACCTACCGTCGACACAAAACGTCTTAACACCCACTCCGTCAAACATTAACGCCACAAATTTGTTAAATTCCGAACAATTCCAACAGGAGTTCTGGAAGAAACCGTCCACGCGCCGCGTTATGGACGCCATCAAGAGCAAAGAGTTCGAGATGAAGACTGCCGCCGAGATCCTCGGCGTCTCTTATGGCACTCTCTATGGGAGATACCGCGACAGTTATGGTTGTCTTAAACACCCGTACAGGTAAGAGCGCGTGCAGACGAAACTTGCACCTAACAGTCCTAATCCCCGAACGTCCTTTGCGTAAAGGCCTGTGTCCACGACGCTAGAACTTGGACCAAGTTCTGGCGTCGTGGACACAGGCCTTTAGCGCAGGCACAAGTTAGAGCGAAACCCAAGTTGGAATAATTGGCGAGAACAAATCGGAGGAAAACGGCAGAGCTCCATCCAAGTAATTGGGATAATAATGTGGACACATGTTTTCAGAGTAAGGGATTTTTCGTCTAAGCCGGGCCGCGCGGAAGTGCTGACGAAGCTGCGGCAAAAGGAGGGGACATTATTACGACCCGCCAAGTTCCCCAATGTCACCGGCCACACGCTCGCGACTTATCGTCAACGCAGGGCCCGCATAGAATCTTATTGTCCGGCGACCTCAACGCAGCGTCCAGCGGTAGCAGTTGTAGCGGCAGTAACAACAACGCGAGCCACGTGACAATCAACCCTCGGCTACTAATGATTAAATTTGAATAACGTAACTACCGCGGACTCGGTTTGACCTCGCTAAATAAATGGCGTAATATCGCGAATTGAAAAGCGAATGTATTTTTCATTAACCGCACGCCGAGCGCGGAGCATTACGAATGCGCATGATGATTCCGTTCGAGGGAAAGGAAAAGAAAAGGCGTGACGATAGTGCAGCATCTTCCACGCCGGCGATTCCGCGTGAGCCTTATCTTTGTTTAGGCTTAGACTTCCCCGGCAACTTGGTCGCAATTAACACCCGCCTGTTATCGATATGTCCGACACGTAACGCCTCGTGCGGCTGTTCATAGCGCATGTAGAATTTTAAGTTGCGACTTCTGCGCTACGCGCTTTATTTTACACGGCTCCCTTCGCGCTCTTCGCAGATAAAATTGTCGCATAAATGATTAACAATCGCGCCCGGCTCGCGTGTTCGCAGGTTGTACTGTCGGCGTGCAGTACGTATTTCGACACAATCCTATCGCAGTACGAGGAGAAGGACCCTATCATCATCATACGTGGTGTCAAATTCTTGGACCTCGAACTACTGGTTCAGTTCATGTACAAAGGAGAGATCAATATTGATCACGTGAGTATTAATGTCGCGCGCGTGGTTAGGCTTGTCGCTTATACTTAGTCGCTTATACTTGGCGCGAGACACTACCGTGTCTCGTGATACATCTCCCGCGAGTGATTTCTCTTCGCGGCTGATTTTCGTATTGTTACCGATTCCGCGAGC